GCAATTATGCTGAGTCAGGCTTGATTTTTAGTAATCTTTTCCTGTTGAATMAATAAATCAAATCAATCAATCAAAAAAACCCCACTTCATTTATAACCCAAAAGAACAGTAAAGAAATCTTGACCTAAAGATTTTATTGGTCGAGTCTGATTTTAGCCACATTTGCAAGACATGGATCTAAAAACTGAGCTTTAGCTTTTAGCCAACATTGTGCTTCATTTAGCCTTTAGCTACTTTTCTACATTTAGAGTTTAGCTAGTGCATTGTTTCAGATTTTAATGTATTGCTGTTTTAGCTTTTAGCTGACGTACTGCTCATTTTAGGTTTTAGCTAGTGTACCGCTTGTTTTACCTTGTAGCTAATATGTTGTTGTTTCAGCTTTTAGCTAGTGTACCGCTGGTCTTGGGTTTGAGCTAATATGTTGCCATTTTAGCTTTTAGGTGGTGTACTGCTTGTTTTAGCATTTAGCTAGTGGGTTGCTGTTTTAGCTAACATTGTTTTATTCAGTTTTTAGCTTGTGTTCTTTTTTTCATATTTAGCTAATGTGTTGTTTAGCTTTTAGCTGTATGCTAGTGTTTTAGCTTTTAGCTAGTGAACTACTTATTTTGGGTTTTAGTGTGTTGTTAATTTTGATCTTAGCTAATGTTTTTTTCTATTTGACATTTAGTTTGTGTTCTTCTTTTCAGCTACTGTGTTGTTCTTTTAGTAAGTAAAACTTTATTTATACAGCACCTTTCAAGAAATCACAAAGTGCTTAAACAAACAAATAAAAAAATACACAAAGCAAATTTAAACAAAAACTGATAAGTTTTTAGCTGACCTTTAAAAGAGTCCACAGATTCTGCTGATGTTAAATTCATTTTAGCTTTTAGCTAGTGTGTTGCAGTTTTAGGTTTAGCAATTTTAGCTTTTAGCTAACGCTGTGTTCTATTCTGCTTTTAAGCTTTTTTTTTAGCTAGTGTATTGCTTGTTTTCGCTTTAATAGTAGCTAATGTGTTGTTTTAGCTCTTAGCTAGTGTATTGCTGCTTAAGATTGTAGCTAATGTGTTGCTGTTTTAGATTTTAACTAACATTTTGTTCTATTCAACTCGTAGCTTGTGTTTTTATTTAGCTAGCATTCTATTTTTTTAGCTAGTGTTCTGCTTTTGTAGCTTTTACCTAGTATTCAGCTTCTTGGATAAGAATGGAAATCTCACATAAATCATTTAAAAACAAAAATAGCCAAATACATTGCAGTATTATATAAAGTAAGAGACTTATTTAATGATAAAGCTCTGTTTATATTATATAATGCAATTGTTCCACACTTGATTTACTGTGTTGAAGTCTGGGGTAAAGCGCGCAAAACAATCACAAATCCTATTTTTATTTTACAGAAAAGGGCTGTCAGAATTATCTCCAAAACATTACCGTCACCCATCAAATATATTATTTTCTAAATTGAAATTATTAAAATGTTATGAGTTGCTTGATTATAATATCTCATAGATTATGTATAAGGTTCATAAAAAGTGTACCTTTAAACATACAGTTATATTTTAAGAGAAAAAGTTTATATAATCTTAAGGGACTTGAGATGTTTATAAAACCTAAAATTCGAACAAATTTGAAGGATAGATGCACTTCAGTTCAAGGAATAAGATTGTGGAATAATCTGGAAAATGATTATAAAAATGTCCTGATGCATCTCAGGCAACCTTCAGGTAAAAATGAAGACCCCAAACCCAGACCCAAACCAGTGGTTATTCCGTATGTTGCGGGTGTTTCGGAGAAACTGAGACGTTT